AGTACGAATATCGAATTTCTCCCTTTCCTTCCTTTACGTTAATGGAAAAAGAAGAAGTAGAAAAGAAGAAGCAAGAGGAAAAGGGGAAGGAGGAAAAGAGGGAAGAAAGAGAGTTTCTCTTCGTGTACATTTGTAAATACGAAGGTACAAAGAGTCTGACGGAAAAATACTCTCTCTCTTTCTGTCTTTCTGTTTCTCTTTGTGCCTCTCTCTCTCTCTCTCTCTCTCTCTCTCTCTCTCTCTCTCTTCTCTCTCTTTCTCTCTCATGGTTGGTGGCTTCCTTTCGTTGAGGTTGAAGAAGATGCAAATTTCGAGATAAACGATTCGTTCTGTGTCGAAAGAGGAACAGAGAGATGAGGAATAAAAGTATATGTAGTATTCCGTCTATCTTTCTCTCTGTACTACTTTCTCTTTCTCTCTCTCTTTCTCTATTATTCTGTCTATTACTTCCTCTATTACTCTCTTTTTACTTTCTTGCCAAGTTATCATCGTTAAAGAGAAAAGTCATTTGTAAGGCTAAAAGAGAGTTAGAGATCTAGAAAAATTCACCATTTTCTTTTAAAAGTAGAAAAGAGAGAGAGAGAGAGAGAGAGAGAGAGAGAGGCAGGGGGGAGGGGAAGGAGAGGAAAGAAAAAATTAGTAAAGTCGAGACACGTAGGACCTGTCTTCTTCCTCTATGAAGGGGGAACGATCCTTCAGGACACGTCCGTTCACAATCCTTTCTCGAGCCACACACGTAGTGGCTCGTGCCTTAAATTCTCTCTTTCTTGGTCGTCCTCTTTCTCTCTCTTTTTCTCTTTCTTTCTCTCTGCACACTTTTACGGTGTTGTATACCGTGGGATGCAACCGTTGCGTTTTATAAATAGCTTAGGGGAGGAGGAACGGGTTCGGGGTTTCTAGCAGTTAACAAACGGTAAAACTAACACTGACTCCTACAATAACATTTCGCTCCGGTCACGTGTTTTCCGCGGCTCGACTATTATAAGATCCGTGACTGCTTCTCGAGTTCTTCTCCTCACTCCTCTTCCGTGTACCCTTTGCCCTCTGCACTTTTTATTTCTCTCTTTCTGTTTTTTTTTTTTTTTTTTTTTTTTTCACTTTTTCTTGCCTTCCTCCCGACGCCTCCTCCCTCTCTTTCTTTCTCTTTTTTTTTTTCATCTCATGGTAAATCCCTTATAGTACGATGCGTGCCAATCGTGTTTGGTCCACGTTAGTATATACGAAGCACAACACTGGATCTAGCTTGGCGATCTATGGTTGGACATTGATTTATGTACGGGGCCACCTGAACACGGTATGCTCCGATCGTTAAGGTCACGAACAACGGCATCTATCATCGGTATCTTAATAGCTTAGAGATTAGATATGATACTCTAAGAGTAAAATTGATCGAATCCTTCTTCGAGCTCCTTCTGGTTTAAAATTTCGAAATAATAATATATCTTGAATAATTTTCGTTATTAGTTATATCATCGTATATTAACGTTTATGATGAGGATTTTAAATGATCATGCTTTTTTATAAGCTCGCACAAAATGTTCGACGAATATATGATATATTCATTTCTATGATCGCAAAATCGCGTTTGTATCGTCGAACAGTGAGAATCTTTGTATTTCATTGGTGAATAAGATATTGAATGTTCCCGATATCAAATCAAACGAATCTATTTAATTCGTTTTCCCTCGGTGGTTGGATTATCTTTTTCTTTTTTCTTTCCTGTTTTTTTTTTTTCCCCGTTTAAAAATTCAATAATAATATCTTTGTTTCAGGCAGGAGTGATGCGATCAACGCGGGAATGAATCGAAGGTCGAAACCAATGAGACCACTTCGACGGACGAAGTTGTTACCAAGCCGGACAATGACGCTACTCTTATCGATATTGCTAATGGCGTTTACGCTACCAGTCGCACGTTTAGAATCAGCGATTGGTTCGGTGAGCAACGGCGGGGTTTCGTTATCGAGCGGTGGTTCGTCGTCCTCGTCATCGGCAATATCTTCTTCGTCATCGTCCTCGTCCTCGTCGTCATCGTCGATCGGGGTAGTTTCCGGTGGGAGTTCAGTATCCGGAGGTATACCTGGCGGTGCTGGGAACAGCGTGATCGGTGGAAGTGGGAGTGGTGGAAATAGCGGTGGTGGTGTTGGTGGTGTTGGTGGTGGTGGAGGTGGAGGTGGTGGTGGTGGTGGGGGTGGGGGTGGTAGTCATTCCGGACTTGGAAGTAGTAATAGCGGAAGTTCGGGGAACGGAAATGGCCGATGCGAAGAGATCACGATACCGATGTGCCGTGGTATTGGTTACAATTTAACGGCCATGCCAAACGAATTGAATCACGATACTCAAGACGAGGCTGGTTTGGAGGTTCATCAATTTTGGCCTTTAGTCGAGATCAAATGTTCTCCAGATTTAAAGTTCTTCCTTTGCTCGATGTATACGCCAATATGCTTGCCCGAGTATACTAAACCTCTGCCAGCTTGCAAAAGCGTTTGTGAAAGGGCTCGT